TGAGTCTTGACCTGCTGGAACTTGCTACACCTGAACCGTCTACAGGTGGTTCAGAACGCCTGTGCTCGGCTTTTGACCAAGTCCTCCAAATACACCCACATCATCCCGCTTCTCCAGCTTCACTGGCTGCCAGTCAACTCCAGGGTTCATTTCAAGATCCTGGTTCTGGTCTATAAGGCCTTACATGGACAAGCACCATCTTACATTGGTGATCTTCTTAGTCCCTACACCCCCAGCAGGTCCCTGAGGTCCAGTGATCAAAGCCTACTGGTTGTGCAGCACCAGGCTAAAGGTCAAAGGTGACAGATCATCTGCTGCTGTGGCCCCCAGACTCTGGACCTCTCTCCCCCTGAGCCTGAGATCAGTGGACTCAGTGGTCTCCTTTAAAAAGCAGCTGAAGACTCACTTGTTCAAGCTGGCTTTTGTATGACCTTCTTCACCTCTCTCTCTTTATTCTGCTCTCCCCACCTATTCCACCTTCCTCAGGATCCACTGGTTTCCCTCTTTCCTGTTCACTCTCTCTCTCTTTCTTAACATTTTTTCTTTTAAATCGCAATAGCTTATTCTTGCTCATTTTAAATATATTTTAAACATTTTCGAAATGCTTTTTTATATTTTTACAATTTTTTTATTTTTTGTTTTTGTGAAGCGCCTCGTGATTTTTATCTTGAGAGGCGCTATAGAAATGATATTTTCTTCTTCTTCTTCAGCGGGAGCTGCCTGTGTGACGCTCGGCCAACTGAATCCACAGGTGGGTGGGAGGTCATGGGAAAGCACAGAGCACAGTGAGTGCCTTCAACTTGATGACCTCGATGCAGAGACCACAATCTGAAGGCAGGGGGTGGTAGGTAGGGTTTCACAGCATTTGTCTGCATTCCTTCCATCGTGGGGGTTTTTTGCACGCAACTCCAAGGCTGCTTATGGCGTCAGATTGGATAACAGAACTTTGTTTGGGTCAGGCAGAGATAATTTCTCTCTGCCTTAAAGTCTGTATTGATCATTCAAATCCTCCAGTGAAGCCAATTCGGTGATTAAACATCTCCACACCGTCCGGTGACCCTCTCCAAGATGACATCCATTTTGCGAACTAATACCGGCAACACAGCTAAGACATTGTCCAGCTTACGATTCACCTCGAGTAACGTCCCAGTCTGTGAGGTCTCCGCCCGGTCGGTGCCGTCCATGGTTGCGGGTCACCCTCCAATCGCTCCCGTCATCCCAATTTTTCGGAAAACCAGATATCCTCCCACTCCAATCAGAAGAAATCCAGTGATCATCAGGCCGAATATCCACACATCTTCGACGTCCTCAAGGGACAGCTGAGAGAGACAGATGACATTCCACAGAATCGAGCATATATCCCGCTGCATGTGTCCCGTGAGGGCAAGCGCGAGCCCCCTCCTCCGTTCTCATCATAGAAAAAATCTTATCAATCGCATTGAATGACCAATTAATTAAATCCATTGCTGAAAAATAGTGATTTCCAGAGGAGATGCAGAGAAGCGCTCTGTAGGCAGACGGGACAAAAAGAGCCTTGGGAAAAGCAGATAAGGGAGCAAAGCAGAAGCGACTGTTCTCTGTGAGTGCTAGAAGAAGAGATACGGTTATTTTTATAGTCAACTTTTTTACCAGGGATTACCGCTACACCGGTTACCGTGATGGCTGGTGTTGCTAAACTTGTGGCAAACACTGCATGCATGACTGAAGCGGTGATTCTCCCAGCACGCCATTTGAACCAGTTTGGACTCTTGTTCTGAGGTCGTGTTTGTTCTTCAATTGCTTTAGCCTGCTTTTCTGTCACTGCTGCAGTTGTCAGGTGCTTTTTGTAGTAAAGCTGTAGGTCCGGGAGGTCAAAGGACTGTTTGGTTTATTTGGTGCAATGATACCAAAGACTGAGGTAATGTAGGTGACTGTACAGTGTTATGTTTGTGATATTTTTCCATCCCAGATAAACCAACAGCCTTGCTGTGCTCTAGCAGCAATTCTAATAGTGGCGACAAGTCCTCCATATTAGCAGGTGGGATCTTAGGTTTTGGGGGCCTGATTCGTTTAGCTTTCACTAACGACTGTGTGTATATTTGTTGAGCTATTGCCTTTTTTTTGGCTGTTGAAGTGGTGAAGTCAATTTTATGGCCAACCTCAGGGTGTATCTTGGACAAATTGCCAGGCAAAACCCAGTAGGCTGGCTCACCTGTAACTGTCCGTGCACCACGGATCCGCACGGTGGCTTCAACTTTAAACAAAAGAGCTGCAGCATGAGTGCAGCTCTCAGCTACCCCAGTCATAGAGGTGCAGTGGGCAGATTCAACCTTGCCGGTGACACTCATAATGACCCATGGAAGCAGCGCCGGTTCATTGAGCCTTTGGGAGTGCAGTACCTGCAACAGAAAAACCACATAAATGTCATGGCATTAACTTGAATAAGGCCAGGGCAACACAAATGTATGCTATTTTTTAGTCTTTTATTTATGTAACAATGGATGTGTTTAGAAAATTGGCGTTTATACTGGGGGGAATATTGGACTGACATAATGTAAGGATGTCATAACTTTCAATAGAAAATAAGCATCTAGTTCTATTAGGGCTAAGCGATATGGACCAAAACTTATATCTCGATATCTTTAAGCTGAATTCCGATATACGATATATATCTCGATATTTTTCCTCCTGTAAACTGTTGACAAGTTAACTCACTTCAAGCTCTTGAGAAATTATATACATAAATCAGTAGGTCAAATGCATAAAAATGTATTGATTCTTGTCAAACTTTAACCGTAGTGCCTATTCTCTACCAGTCTGAGCTTTAGTAACACAGGTACAGCTGTCTGCTAACACACACACACACACACACACACACACACACACACACACACACACACACACACACACACACACACACACACACACACACACACACACACACAGAGTTGAGAGCCAGAGGTGTATCAAATGTCCCACAGGCACTTTTTAATTATATATTTATAATTAATGTAAAATTATTTAAATTTCATCTAGAGGTGGCCCATATTGTATAGGTCTTGTCCAGAGAAAAAAAAACCCCATCATGTTAAGCTAAATGTACGATGATGTAATTGCATCTACTGAAGATCACATGGGTCTTGCACCATGGAGTTATTAGAAAAACTAGTTATTAACTAGTTGTTAGTTATTAGTTAGCAGTGTTGGCTCATATCAGCGATTATACTGTAATGATTCAGAGTCTCTGGTTGCTCTTTTATGAGTGATATTTTCGGGCTACTGTCGCCATAACCCACACCTTACAAACTCAACTTTTTCATCAGAATCACTCGTAACGGAGTATTTACTAGCATAGCAAACCAGAGCGGAAAAAACCGGAACCGGAACAACATTTCTCACCCGCTGAGTTCGCCTTCAAAATAAAACGGTAATCCTATAGTTTACTATTCAAACCCTTACAATATGTTTCAGGTCATTTGGCCACTCCAGCTTTCCGTAGCCGTTTCCTCATTACACAGGGGAGGGAGGGGTTTGGCTCCTCTCTCCGCACAAGCAGGATGGAAAAGAGAACTCCGTTGGCATTGAACGTCCCCAAATAATTAAAAACCAGGAGGCCAAATGCAAAGTTTAGAGCAGCACATTTACCCAGAGGCTCTCAGACTGAGGAAACTTGTGAGAATCCACGTAATAGCCGCTTAGAGACGGAGCAACATGTCGCTAGCATAGCGGCTAATCGCTAGCATAGCAGTTTGGCCAGTTATATCGATATAAAGATATAAAGTCATCTTATATCTTGTTTAAAAATTATACCGATATTTAAAGAATATTGATATATCGCCCAGCCCTAAGTTCTATTTAAATTTCAGCTTTAAGTGAGTTATGAATATATAATGTGGTTAGGGGTTTCTGAAAACCATCAATAAGTGCATGAAACTAAATTCAGATTTATATTTTTATTATCACAGAACACAAATCAGCTACAAAGTTGCAACTTGTTTCAGAGTGAGTTGGATTCGCAAAGTTATCAGAATTTTGATTGATTGTTACCAATGAAGTTGTAGTGAAAGTTGTAAAAGTGACTTACCTTTGCATGAATGATCACATATTCGCAATGACGAGGCTTAAAAATATCCTAATCGTGCACCCAGCCATTGGTGAACTGAATGTGCGCCTCCAAAGACTTGTAATTCCGAAACTGTTTTGCGGTGCAGGCACCGATTCCACAGACCACATACGAAAATATATCTGGGAAGGACAAAGGGGGTAGATCGTCTAGGTCTCTTCGCCATTGCCGTAGCTCATACGGGTCCACATTTCCAAGACACTCGATCTTCTGTAAGTGTCTTTTTTTGTCATCCGGACGCAATTTGTCTCGATATATTCCTTTCTCTTTGGAGCTGATTTTAAGCATGATTAGTTACCTTCTTCTTTACCACTTCTCTCGTTTGTTTTGGTTTGTGGGCAATAAAGATGGCGCAGCAAAACCACAATGCATTGCTCAATGATGTTGGTTCCAAAGCCCTATGGGGTGGCAGGGGGGCTGGGACCCTGTTCTCCCCCAGAGAGAGCAACCATCTTCAGAGGCACTCGTTCACTGTTGGATCACAGGTGGGGGGGGGGGTCGAGGGGGAGTGAAGAGTACATTGACTCCTTCAGTTGATGTCCTCGCCAGGATAAGTCCACCAATCCATGGTCAGGTTTTCACAGCATCTGTCCGCATTCCTTCGTGAGAGATTTAACTTCTCGCAGTTTAAGGCTACCAGGGCGCCAGATTCAGATTGGAAGAATTGTTGGGGTCAGGCAGAGATAATTTTTTGATCAATTCTAGTAATTCTTCTTTTTAAAAAATATTTATACATTCACCTCAGATAAAAAAGTCACTCAATGCAAAAGTTAATTCATGTTCTCCGAGTTAGTTCTGATCTCACCAACTTAAACCAGTAATTCAACTGCTTGTTAATATATGTGTGAAAATAAAGTTACAGTGGTTAATTCACATAATGTGTTCCTGTTTCCCATAGATGTTCTCCAGATGGTTAAAGAAGAAGCTTCTGAAGATCAGAGTGCTGGTGTGGACCAGCAGCACCCAGAACAGTTCCACATAAAGGAGGAACAGGAGGAACTCTGGACCAGTCTGGAAGGAGAGCAGCTCCTTTTGAAGAAGGAGACTAATTCTGCCAGGTTTCCATTCATATCAGTTTCTATAAAAAGTGAGGATGATGAAGACAAACCTCTGGTCTTACATCTTCTTTATCAGCAGCAAATAGAGGACAGAGATGTTCCAACCAACAGCTCAGCTGACCAGACAACAGCAGAAACTGGCAGAGAAGCAGAATCTAGCAGGAACCCAGTTCTGAACCCCGATGAACACATATCTGATTCTTCAGAGACTGAAGTTAGTGGAGATGATGTGAATCTAAATGTTGAGCTATTAGACTCTAGTTCTGAAACTGGAGATGGAGACAGTGACTGCAATGAGAGCAGGTCTTCTGAGTCAGATATTAAGACTGTCAACAAATCCTTTTGCTGCCTCGAGTGTGGTAAAGAGTTTCTCCACAAGTGGTCTCTCCAGAGACATGAAAGAGTGACGAGCCATTCAGCAATAAGATCTTCAGGATGTGTGGTTAATAAGAAAAATGTTAGAGTAAAGCAACATGTAGACTTTTGCAGGAAAGTCCAGAATGAACCAAAAACATTTAGTTGTGACATTTGTCACAATCATAATAAAAGTTTAAACAGACACATGAGAGTCCACACAAGAGAGAAACCCTTTGCCTGTGAGCTCTGTGAACAAAGATTTAGACGTAAATTCACATTAAACCGTCACATGAGAGTCCACACAGGACAGAAACCGTTTGCGTGTGAGCTCTGTGAACAAAGATTTAGCCAAAAATCAACATTGAACACTCACATGAGAGTCCACACAGGACAGAAACCATTTGCGTGTGAACTCTGTGGAAAATGCTTTACTCTAAAGGGAAATTTGAATACTCACATGAGAGTCCACACAGGACAGAAACCCTTTGTGTGTGAGCTATGTGGACAAAGATTTAGTTTTAAGCAAACATTAAACATACACATGAGAGTCCACACAAGAGAGAAACCCTTTGCGTGTGAACTCTGTGAACAAAGATTTAGTCAAAAATCAACATTAAACACTCACATGAGAGTCCACACAGGACAGAAACCGTTTGTGTGTGAGCTATGTGGAAAAAGCTTTACTCTAAAGACAAATTTGAACACTCACATGAGAGTCCACACAGGACAGAAACCTTTTGCCTGTGAGCTCTGTGAACAAAGATTTAGTCTTAAATCCACATTAAACGATCACATGAGAGTCCACACAGGACAGAAACCTTTTGCGTGTGAACTCTGTGGAAAAAGCTTTACTCAAAAGACAACTTTAAACAGTCACATGAGAGCCCACACAGGACAGAAACCTTTTGTGTGTGAGCTATGTGGACAAAGATTTAGTTTTAAGACAACATTAAACATACACATGAGTGTCCACACAGAACAGAAACCGTTTGTGTGTGAACTTTGTGGAAAAAGCTTTAATCGAAGGACAAATTTGAACACTCACATGAGAGTCCACACAGGACAGAAACTCTTTGCCTGTGAGTTATGTGGACAAAGATATAGCTATAAGAAAAACTTAAACAGTCACATGAGAGTTCACAAAGGACATTACAAATAAATTTAAAGTGCACTTTTACTGATAAACAGTATAAGTACGTGAGTAAAAATGCTGTAGACAAGTGAGGTCATTATTTTAGCATTTTTGTGCATCTTATGTAACCCTCCCACTGTCCCTTGAGGTCCACATGGCAGGGGTGAGGAGTGAGCACCACCTCACCCCTGCCACGTGGACCTCAAGGGTAAACCATCAACCCTGCTCAATGGTCAACTTTCCTCGTGGGATCACCCATTAGGACAGTGGGAGGGTTAGAATGTAAACATTCAGCTTGAAACTGCTCATTCTCCTCTGACCTCTAGCATCAACAAGGCATGTTCTCCCACAGGACTGCTGCATACTGGATGTTTTTCCCTTTTCACACCGTTCTTTGTAAACCCTAGAAATGGTTGTGTGTCCAGACACACTGGAAAAGTTAAGGAATCCTATACCTGGAACACATATATAAAGGATTGGGCTTCATCCCATTTAATAGAATAGTCTCCCAATTTGGAATAGATAAGAATAGCTTTTTAGAATATCACCAAATTAAATCAATAGTTAAACAAAAATTTAAGTGTAATAAAGTAGAATTACAAACACCACCAAGGGTACTAGACTTCTGTAATCTCAAACACCCCAAACTACAGTCCAAAATTTATAAGACACTGTCCAAAATAGATGATAGAAAAGCAATCCCTATTGAAAAATGGGAGATGGGTCTATCAGTCAGCTTTGACCAGAACTTCTGGTCCCAAACTTGGTTAAAAACTTTTAAAATGATCAGACACCCCAATTTACAATTAATTCAATTCAAAATTCTGCAGAGTACACTATACAGGTCATCGGATGTTCAGGATGGGGTTTGTGTCGTCTGACACCTGTACACACTGCACACACAACATTCCTGACAATTACATCCACGCACTGTGGTCCTGTCCACCTGTCCAGGAATTTCGAGGTAGAGTATGTGAAGACCTGTCAAAGTGTCTGAAATGTCATATCCCAACTTCCCCCTCTCTTTGTTTGCTGGGAAACCTGGATGACGTCCCGATTGCTCCATCTCGGTCTCTTCGCTAGCCGAGCAGGAACTTCTGGTGGTCCCCCGGTCGAGATATCGATCGAGGGGTTATCGTGCATTTTCTGTTTTGGCTCCAACTCTGTGGAATGAATTGCTATTGAGCATTAGGCAGGCACCGTCCCTTCCAGTCTTTAAGTCTCGTCTGAAGACTCATTTTTATTTGATTGCTTTTCAGCGCTAGGGTTCTTTGAATTGCCCTGACATTATGGTTTTAATTCTTCTTCTTTTTGATCAGGATGCTTGATCTTGTTTTGTCCACCAATTGTTTTTAATTGATTTGTCTTATTCCGTTATCTCTCTGTATTTGTAATATTGTTTGCTTGATATTTTATGATTTTATGTTTTTATCTTGCTTTTATGCCCAGGTACTGGGAATGTTTTTATGGTGATGCTGTTCAGCACCTTGGGCTTCTAAAAAGCTGTGGAAGGTGCTCTGCAAATAAAGTTGAATTGAATTGAAACATCTTTGGTTCACGTGGTTCTGACTGCCATATGCATCGCTAAGAAAACTATCCTCACGAACTGGAAAAATAGACAAACTTTGCATTAACCAGTATAGAAATATTTTGTTAGATCACATTACACTTGATATAGCCTCTGCTTCCACCTCAAATCAATCTCTCTGGGCTCCTTTGATCACATAACAGTGATGGGGGGTCATTGATATTGTCCTGCGGGATGACGTGTGTGATAGGGTGGAGGGTTTGAGTTTGGAGTGGGTCTGGGGCAGGGGGGCTGCTGCCCTGCTCTGGAGGTGCTTGGGTTGCCTCAGGGGGTGGACTACTAGCGGTTGAGTGGGGCCCTTTGTGGCATCTTGGGGGTGGCCGTGGGTTGCTGCATTGCTCCTGAGTGAGTCTGGGTGGGGGCGACCCCGTGTGGGGATCTGGGCGGGGCCGTGGAGATTGGGTCCTGAGTGTGGGGCATTTTGGGAACAGAGGTGCCTATTCAGGCGTGGGAATGAACTGCACAACCAACTGGCCAGCAGGGCCGATGGGTCAGAAAAGTTACCAGCCCCGCTGAGAACCTACCGGCCCAGCAGGTCATCTGCTAAGATGAGTAAAAATCACAACTGAAAAAAATAAATAAATAAAAAATGGAAAGGTGAGTTTTTTCAAACAGACGTTTTAAGAAAAAAAAAATAAAAGAAAATAATGAAAGAAGCAAGAGATGGCAGCTAAAAATACAAAAAAAAATTTAAGATTTAAAAAATGCTGATGACTTACTATGCAAATCACAAATGGCTGCTTCCTGCAGGGCTTTGCTCTTTCTTTTTATTATGTAGAAGTGAAACATTTTCTGTTCAATTTGAGACTCGCTATAAAAGCAGGAGTTACAAGAGTTCGCAGGAGTATTGGAGCAGGTGTAGCGCCCAGCAATGATCAGTTTATGTACAGCCTGACCTTTTACCATCTATTCAACATCTGGTCAGAAAGGAGACACAACATTGCAGGACTTTGTTTTATGAGGCTATGGCAATTGTTAATAGTCGTCCCTTAACTGTTTACAACATTAACGAACCTAACGTACCTGAACCACTCACTCCTTATCGTCTTATCCTTATGAAGTCTAAAATCGCTTTACCGCCACCTGGAACTTTTGTCAAAGAAGACGTGTATGCACTTCAAAGGTGGCGTGGAGTACAGTTTCTTGTAGAACAATTCTGGAGCAGATGGAAAAGAGAATATCTCAGTAACCTCTCTCAGACAAAAATGGCACAAACTGTGCCGCAATGTAAAGGTGGATGACATAGTCCTTGTTAAAGGTGATGTACTTCCAAGATGTCAGTGGCAACTGGGTCGTGTGATTGGCACTGCAGAGGGAAAAGACGGAATAGTCCGAAGAGTTAAGTTCAGATGGCAAACAGAGGTCTGAATGATAGACAGAACCGTGTGTCCGTTCTTGAACGTCCTGTTCAAAAACTGGTCATGTTAGTTGAGAGTTAAGTTTTTGCTCTTTGTTTTTTAATTCACTAATTTGCTCTTTAACTGCGGAGTACCACAGGGTTCAGTGCTTGGACCAATTCTTTTTACTATATATATGCTCCCAATTGGTAAAATCATTAGACAGCATGGGATAAACTTCCACTGTTATGCTGACGATACCCAGTTATATTTATCCATTAACCCTGATGAACCTAATCGGTTGGGTAGATTACAGGCTTGTCTTGAGGACATAAAAAATTGGATGACTCTTAACTTCTTGCTTTTAAATCAAGACAAGACGGAAGTTCTCATCTTTGGACCAGAAATCCAGAAAAGGAAATTGCTTAGCCAATCGCCTGACCTTAATGGCATTACATTAATCTCCGAGAACAAAGCAAGGAACCTTGGTGTTATCTTTGACCAGGACATGTCATTCAAATCCCAGGTTTCACAAGTTTGTCGGATTTCCTTTTTCCACCTTCGGAATATTGCTAAGATTAGAAGCATCCTTTCCAGGAGTGATGCTGAAAAACTAGTTCATGCATTTATTGTATCAAGACTGGATTACTGTAATTCATTACTCTCAGGAAGTCCACAGAATGTAGTTAAAAGTCTTCAGCTTGTCCAAAATGCTGCAGCTAGAGTTCTGATGAGAATTAAAAAGAGAGATCATATCTCTCCTGTCTTAGCTTCCCTACATTGGCTACCTGTTAAATTCAGAATAGATTTTAATCCTTCTTCTCACTTATAAAGCTCTTAATAATCAAGGTCCATCATACATCAGTAATCTGATTGTTCCATATGTTCCTAACCGAGCACTTCGCTCTCAGACTGCAGGTCTACTGGTGGTTCCAAGAATATCTAAACTTAGGATGGGAGGCAGATCTTTTAGTTTTCAGGCTCCTCTCGTGTGGAACCAGCTCCCAGCTTTAGTCCGTGAGGCAGACACTTTGTCTACTTTTAAGAATAGGCTTAAAACATTTTTATTTGATAGGGCCTATAGTTAAAATCTGATGTTAGCCTAAATCTGGACAAGTGGGGGAGTAGAGGGAGGTGGAGTGTACAGTCGGTAAAGACGGCTCTCCATTGCCCTGCCTCCAACATGCCTACATCTAAATAGGATAGATTATCCAGAGTTAACTCTGTAGTTATGCTGCTATAGGCTTAGACTGCTGGAGGACACACTGACCACTTTTCACACTCTACTGCTTTATTCTACAGTCTGCTCTTTAACTGTACTATTTTGTGCAATTTCAGCTGTTAACTTTATTTTCTCTGTGAGTGTTTTTCTCCCCAGAAGAATCTACAATGATGTTCTGCTGAGCTGTGGTGGCCTCATGGAGGGGGCCATCGACTAGCACACTGCTGCTAACCACTAATACATTCTCCCTCTCCTGATAATAACTTTTTGTTTTCATTGACTTTTGATGTGCTAATACTAGTTTATCCATTTAATTATAGATCCACTAGGATAAATACAATAAAGTTTATCTTTCACCAAATACAATATTTACTAAGACATCACAATATAACTATAGACACATTACTTGTGTGTGTGTGTGTGTGTGTGTGTGTGTGTGTGTGTGTGTGTGTGTGTGTGTGTGTGTGTGTGTGTGTGTGTGTGTGTGTGTGTGTGTGCGTGCGTGCGTGCGTGCGTGCGTGCGTGCGTGTGTGTGTGTGTGTGTGTGTGTCTGCCTGCTCTGTCTTCTCCATCCCCAGTGAGTCGTGGAGGATGGCTGCTTATACTGAGCCAGGATTCTCTGGAGGTTTCTTCCTGTTAAAAGGGAGTTTTCCTCTCCACTGTCGCTGCATGCTTGCATAGTATGAGAATTGCTGTATAGTCACTGACACTAGTCAGTGACTTAATGCAATTTGCTGGGTTCCTTATATAGGAAACATTATTTCTGATTGGCTTAATGAACTGTGAATTGGAATGTTTATTATGTGAAGTGCCTTGAGACGACTCTTGTCGTGATTTGGCGCTATATAAATAAACTTGAATTGAAAATTGAATTGAATTAGGAAGTAAAATACAGTACTGTTAACTGCCATTTTTCTACTTTAAAATCATGTGAAGTATTTTTGCATGAATCATGATTTGGTGGGAGTGTAAATGGCTGCGAGCAGGTGGATTGTCAACGTCACTCATTCAATTGCATATAAGTGGGCGTTAACCCGGATGTGGACGTGGCGTTGGCATTCCACCTGGCTTGGCGTGTTGCAGCAGACCAAACTTCCACGTAAGTACGGGTATTTTGACTAAAATTGATTAAATAAGAACGTGTCGCCCTAACAAATGCTTGTACATTTAGTCTATGGTCTTGCTGTGCCAAGCCTCTACGTGACATTACTTTGATTGCACCCCATGGCAAGAGGAGCAAGGTATTTGTTCTTTGTTTCTGTTTGTTAATCCTGATTGTCAGCGATTGTCTTTAATTTGTTTGTAAATTATGTATTTTCAGTTTTCACGGTGTTTGCACATTGACCGGCACCAGGTGCTCGGTGCGATTCTGGGAATGAGATGTGTGCATCTACAGCCTGACGCAAATAAAAAGTTACACCCGTCGAAGCTCTCCTCCTTATTTCTCTTGGATGCCAAGCAAGTGGTGCTCGCTGCAGAACCACAAAGGCGGAGTTGCACCAGAAGGTGGAGCTGCACCAGAGTCAGCCCCACCCCTTCCAGAGTCAGCCCCGCCCATTCCATCAGAGTCAGTCCAATTCCTTCCAGTTGTCAGACTTGATAGCATTCTGGAACCAAAGAAGGTGTTATAGCTAATATCATCTAAAATGCAAGATTGAGGACGGAGTTGAGAAGTTAATTGAACAGTTTTTGTAAAGGTTCCATATAATTAAAAATCTAACTTTTTACCATGTTATATTAGCATTTCCTCATAAAAAACACGTCCAAGCCATTTTTGGCCTCATTCATACATTTTCCTCCCATCTCAGCTTCAATATATATATAGTTTAGGTTTGGTTCCTTTGATAATCAAACCTACCAAACAACCCAAAGTGCAACAATAATTGATAATATATTCACTAATAGAAAGGAGGACGTTGTTAAAGCTGGGATATTGATGACAGATATTAGTGATCATTTACCTATTTTTGTAGTGTCTAAATATCACAATAACAATAAAAATATCATAAAACATAATTTTATTAATTATAAAAGAAATAAATCAGTTAAAGCCCTGGAGGACCTAAATAAAGATCTTAAAATGCAGAACTGGACGGAAGTCTATGTCAGTGATGTGAACAATGCATATACATCCTTCATGAAAATTCTGCTGAAATCGTTTAACAGTAATTGTAAATTAATTAAAATAGCAGGTAAAAGGGACAACCAACCATGGATGACTAATGGAATTAAAAATGCATGTGCCAAAAAAAAAGTCTGTATATGAGATTCTTAAAGTTACAAAGGAAGCCGAAGATAGATATAAAAAATATAAAAATAAATTAGTAACAATAATTAGAAAACAAAAGAAAGAGTACTATGGTGAGCTATTGAATAAGAACAAAGACACCATCAAGAC